ACCCCTCTCCATCAAGATTTGAGAGACCCATTCCGCTTCCTGAATACAACCTAAGTTTTACGAGTAACCGACGTTATTCTCATTTTTGCCTGTGCCATCCCCCTTTTTCCTCCCTATTATTTTTGTGAATAAGCTCGTAACAGGTATATAAAAAATTCAGGCGTTCAGCATAAGGTGTACACTCTTATACGACGTGCCCATCCCCAACGTGTTTTTGCTTTCCAGAAGCATCGCTAAAAAGTCACCGCATGTAACATGTAGGCGTAAAGTGGGTGCCTTCATCTGAAAGTGCCGCTCTTTCACGCTCGACCAATGCTGCAGAGAGGGCAGTGGCGTGCCGCAAAGGTGACTGAATGATTCAATGAGTCCTCCAAATAAGGTTAAAAATCGCTATAATCTCAAAATACTCTTCGGGATCTTGTACAGCGAGGCTTAAACTTTAATTTAAATACTTACCGACCACATAAATTATAATTATTAAGCTTGGAATATACCCATTTTTAGGGATTTTCAGACATTAAATCGCTTATTACAACTCGAAAATGGTCAGTTCTAAAGAAAAACTAAGAAAACTTTTTTTGTTCGGAATGATCTAAAAAATCTGTTAAAAAATTCCAGGTGAAACAGTGTAATTTATTTAAAAAAACATATAACAAATTTGATCTGGGGTACCATGCGGGTGTTTTCAATGCTTATAAACTCGGTTAAAAGTTATAATTTCTAAGCTCACCAAGTACCTTAAGTGTTCTTTGAAATGTGATGACAAGATGGATGATTGAGATGTTTCTCGAGCTTTCAGTGTCTACAAAGTTTTTTGTTTCAGGGCGTTCCGAATGATGTGATCTTCAGTAGTCGTCAGGTGATCTGGCTAACATGCTCCTTTGTCGACTATACTAAGTGACATATAAATCCGAACACCCAGTTTAAATGTGCAACATGTGGTCGGGCATTATCTTGTTGGAAAGTTGGATCTGCCAGGGTGTCAAGATAGGGTAAAGGATGGGGTTCTAGAACTTCGTGGATATAACGCTGCCCGTTCATGTTACCTCTGATGAAGATGGTGACCTGGAACCATAAGCTATAGCACCCCAAACCATAACTCCAACAGTGTGATGATCATGTCTTTCAACAAAAAACTGTGGATTCCTCCTTTCACCACGCCGCCTTCTAACCCTGGCTCGACCATTGTGCATGCCTAAACAAAATCGAGACTCGTCACAAAAGACAATACTGTTCCATTCCTGATCCCAGAGTGACCGTTGCACCACTCAAGGCAATTACGTCGGTGTTCTCGAGTTAAAGAGAGGACCCAGTATGGCCGGTATGAAAACAAGCCAAAACTTCTCATTCGTCGGTAAACACTTCGCATGCCAATAGGTCTTCCGTGTTCTGCAAACCATTCATTTGTAATGGACCTGGTAGTGGATAAACGGTCCCTTAAGGCCAATAATCTTAGGCGGCGATCTTCACGGTCTGTTGTTCTACGGCGGCGTCCAGTGCCCCTTGCTCTTTGCGTACGGCCTTCTCGAAGCCATGCCTGACAACACCTAACCACAGTATCTACACTTCTTTGCACTCTAACTGCAATTGCCCGAAAAGAAAGTCCAGCTTCCCGAAGTCCCACTATGCGGCCCCTATCAAACTCACTAAGTTGACGAAATCGTACAGGTCTCCGTACTCTAGGCATCGTAACCGATCATAAAGGATGTCAAGAACCAAAATCCGCCAACGTTGATTATTTACTGCGGCTGAAATATTCATTTTTAGAGCGTTAGTGAATTAAAAAAAGCAGTATAAAAACCGGAATGTCCAACTGATAAGGCTGAACATTTTTTCACTTGTTATTTACAGTAAGATAAATACATTCACCAACTTTTATTAAAATAAAACCATTTAAACTGGGTGTTCGGATTTATATGTCACTTAGTATACATACATTCAAGACATACTTTTAGATTGCCAATCCAAGCAGGTTATGAAAATACACAACATTGGAAAATCCTACAATCGCTCTGAACTGTCAGCAACCAATCACAATGCGGATTGAACCAATTACACGGAATCAGGATAGCTCTGGGATGGTTTCTCGTAGGGCACGGGTATGGCTAGTTAATCCAGACACCGAATTATATCTTCACTTCTAAATTGACAGTCATTGTGTGAGAAGTGTACAGAGTCATTTTATTAAAAAAGTGCCATCTTGGCATCAGTGGATAACGCAATCATTATTTGGGTAAAAACAAGTTATCAGGTATCTACAATTTCCGATTTAACTTTTTCTTAAACGACTATGCATCGACTTATCGACAAAAAGCTTTATGTATATTATGGTTTCGCTTTAACCGCAAACTGCGTAACATTACGCTTTTCTAGATTGAGTTTGAGTATAAAAAAATATTATAGTTCCAGTCTTTCGTCAGAGACCTCTCGTCTTCTATGCTAAAGTTTACCCGATTTGATTTTTGTCAATATAGATCCACCCCTAAATGAAATAATGCTTATACCTAATTGGCTCGTATTATACTGAAAATAGAAACGGCTATGATTATGTTCCCTGAAACCGAAATGAATCCTGTTTTTATCGCAGTTCTTTGGCCAGACACCAAACGGTATCTAAATGTTGACGGAAATAAATTTCTTACAGCTTAAGGTGCTTAGTCGTGCGAGAAGGCGTGTTCGTTCGTTTCACTTGTTTTTTACTTCAGAGTAAATTGAATCGCTCGAAGAACACGTGTAAAAAATTTAGTGCTTCAGTAATTTTTCTATTAGCGGTATTGTATGTTGTTTGTGTGTTATGTGGTTACTTTTGTCTTCTTATTGTAGATAACTCGATGTTCTTCTTATAGCCGTGATGCAGTTTTTAAGACACTATGTAACATCAAAAACAAGACATTTTTTGTTGTTATGTAAATCGCTAGTTGCTCCAGCTAAGCTTTTCTGTTAGGTAGTAGATACCGTCTGTTTTGAAATTTCGAAGAATCGATTTAAAAGTTTCTTTTTTGAGGTACAAACACTTTTTTAAAGCTAAAGGGACATGCTTGAAGGCATTAAATAAGGATGCTCAAGTAGATGCGTGAGTAGCATTTTGAAAGTAAGGCTGAGCCACATTTCAGATAATCGTTTTTTGATTTTCCATGAAATCTACACACACACAAATCTGTTGACTGTTGGAGGGGAATCTACGTTAAGATAACACTCGTATTGAGAAATTTAAAATCGGTGTGGTGATGTCGGAACGATGTGCAAAGGGATATCAAATAGTATTAAAATTTCTCTTTTTGTCCTTCAAATTTCTGATAATCGTTGGGTGCAGTATAACATTTCTTCTATGTAGTTACCTTTTTGGGATTTTTCAAGCTTATTTGGGGCGGAGTCTGGAATTTTTTTCGGAGAAGAATCCTGAACCTTGTGAACCTTCGCGATTTTTACTATTGTTTGTGACACCTTTAAGGCGTGGTCATATGTAAAAAGAGATATTCATTTCTTCAGCAGTATAAGCTTTGTTGCGGCAAAATGTTCAGAGCACATATTTTTTTATCGGAACAGCGAGTGACATGATTCGAACAAGAAGTAGTTCTGGCACACAGTCTTATGAAATTCATTTGGTCCTTACCAATCATTACGAATTTCTTGACGGTACACAATAATAAAATGGAAAAACAACAACACAAGTGCAATTGAAAATGCGTTGATCCGTATTCATAAAAGAGAAGCATATCCTCGGAAGCATAAGGTAAAAGTATAAGGTCTTGCTTCGGAGAAAAAGGTAGAAGTATAAGCATATCCTTGTTTTCACATTCATAATGCTTACCTTATACTCGCGAGGATATCCTCCAAGAAGAAGTAAAAGGTTGACTGGTATTTGTATCTTGAGCGATATGTCCTGACTTGTTCCAGCTTGTAGTTGACGTGGGAGTTCGTTCACTCAGCATCACCGACAGTTGTACTCCAGAGATTACACAGACCGTTCCGTATTTTTACGAGATACAAACTAATAAGCATGTCATCCTCAAGTGATGAGGAAACTACAGAGAATAATGGCAACGACCTGCAGTTCATCGCAGATGAAATTGCCATTGCTCCCATTATTTTGCAACAGTCACAAGTTCCAAAAATAAAAATGAGAAAGGACGATGCCGTGAAGAAGATGTTGAAAAAATACGAATCAACATTCGGTAAACCATTAGATACTAAAGGCTTATTAAAAGCAATCAATAACATGAAACTGGTAATAAAGCAATTAAATTGTTAGATTGGGAAAGAAAGTTGCTGAAAGCTATAGAAGGTGAGTGTAATCCTACAATTGGGAAAATTAGAAGTGCCATTCAGGTTGGTAGTGTTCAAGAAGAAGGAAGACATTACCACCAAAAAGAAAATTAGCAACATAGAAATACGAAACTGAGGAAACCAAAGGGTTAAATATACGAAATGATGCAGCGTCAGAAGCTACCTGTAACTTATGATGTTCACGAAAATAAAACTTATTATAACTTATAAATACACTTTAGTCAGTAAAACTATTTATTATAATACTCAAGTTTCTTCTTATTTGTTGACCTAGTTGGCGGAGAGGAAGTTCGTCATTCCCATGATTTCCTTCATCTCCATCAGGGTGTTGTTCAACTAACTCAAAGTCAGGATCGCCCAAGCTCTTCGCAACATTATGGAGTACAATACAAGCAATGATTATTTTCGGCAGCTTTCCCATCTTTACGCGGCAAACATACTGTAGGATAGGAAACCGGCGTTTCAGTTGGCCGAAACAGCGTTAAATTATAATTTTTTTTGTTTTAAAAGCTTATTATAATTTATTTCTGCACCTGGAGTAGGATTTCTGAAGGGAGTCATAAGGCATGGCTCAATACCATAAGCGTCATCGCAAAGTAGTGCAACACTTGCTTTATTTATTAGTTGTGATCTAGTCTGTGAATTTCTCCATATTCTGGAATCATGCGCTGATCCAGACTGACATCAACACTTGTGAACATCTATCTGACATCTCAAATGGCTTGCACATTCAAAGTAGGTTTCCCTTTTCGGTTGATATACTCATCTCGATGGCGATTTGGGTTCAGGATTCCTACTTGTATATGTGTAAAATCAATTACACAAATTGCTGGAAATTTATACATGCTTTGAAAAATCCGCTTGGCCTCCATCAGTTGATGGTTGGTAGTTGGAAACTTGATCCATTCGTGCGACTGGGCAACTATGCTGTTCACAACTCTATCCACAGTCCGAGATACCGTTGCTGGACTAACACCAAGTTCCTGACCAATACCTTGTTGATATCCAGGGTCACCGAGATAGCGTAGACATATCTTCATTTTATGAATACATGAAAGTGCTTCTCCTCGAGTTCCCTCATTCTCAACTAAAAATCTGTCCGCAAGCCATTGTACATTTACTTCGTCGAACCGATAAAATTTTTTGAAGTCGAAGGCAAACGAGGTTTCTAAGTTTTAACATTCCTAACATCCACAATTTCCGCCATCATCGTTTGACCACCTTTGGTTACTAAGTTGAGTCTGCTACTGACCACACTGAGAATCTTTGAAGGATATGCTTCCTATGCTAAGTATAAGGTGAAGGTTATTTTACTTATTTCACTGCTTATACTCAAAACGCAAAAGCATTTACTTCAAATTATTATAAATACCATCTGGAGGATTTCCTTCAAAATTTGCAAGTACAAGGATATCCCTTGTTTTATGAATACGGCTCATTATCTTCTTTCAATGATCCATTTTTTCGTCCAAATGCGTACCAACAAAGCGTAAATGCCAACAAATAAACAAGGCATTGGAAATGACCATCCACCCCTCTTGTAGGTACCGTAAATATTCTTAATTATATATAAAACATTTTATTTAAGTAACGAATTACTTCCGAACAAACACCAAAGATGCTGGAGCAAGGAACATTCATAAAATAAATCGTAACATGAACTCATAAAACGTACATTTTCAAATGCACATGCTGTAGTTCACCTCTGTACGTATAAATGTATAACCAGCGGGAAGACTATATGCTGACCGAGCTATATGAGCTCTTATTGCTTTATTAGCGGCTAGGCTTGCAGAACCAAAGACGCAATCGAGCGTAGAAAGTGAAAAATGGGGAAAAATGTAAAAGCTGCCGTTTACGCTTCACGGTGGAACATTGAGTTTTCTTCAGGATCACGTCATTAATTTTGTCCCCTCCTCCAAAGTTGCTGTTTCTCGGCCTCACAATTGATGAGAATTAAATGACCGGGGCTTAGCAGTGAAAGATGAACGGCAATGAAGGAAGTTTTTCTTACTTTGAAGGTTTCTTGCTTAACATTGATTATGGATGTAATTAATCTTACAATGTTGTTTCGGGAAAATTATCATTCTCGCCCTGTGCTGTTTCTGGAGGTTTTTTAGTTAGACTCAAGAAGTAACAATCATTTCTCTCTCACGTCGTTTCTGAAGTCGACAATGAAATGGCGTATTACTTTACGAAAAATAAAAAGCGGCCAACTCATACCAACTACCGTATTGTAACAAGCCAGTCGTTATTGCTCTTAAGACTTTAGATTACTGAAAAGTGAGACAGAATTCATAGTCTGCAGTAACAAAATCTTCTTGCTTAACAATGTTTATGGTGTCTGTTTTCCTTCTTTCCGATATTGGCAATGCTGTCATGCGCAATTACGAAGTCCAATTTTTCCAATTTCTCCATCGCTATAACCGCCTTTTTAGCTTTGAAAATGTTCCTTATCAAATACCTTTGGACTCAACATAACTTCAAAGTTCTCCACTCGTGAAATACAGGGTGTCCGCAAAGTTGGGGTTTTCCTTTACAGGACGTGTAGACCTTGAAAACATAAGCAATTTTTCTTAGTACCATATACACCAGTGTCTTCAGGGAACCGAGATAAAGGGCTCTGCAACATCAAAAATATCTGAATACCGTCCTGTAGCCGCGACATCACCGACTGGTACAAGGTCACTGGCTCAACCCGACGACAGAACTGGGTCGGGGCCAGTGGGTCAGGTCAGTATGCAACTTTCAACCGACGGTTACGGTCACGCGTGTAGAGGTAATCGCGTAGACGAGAATCCCTCAACAAGCGCTAGAGACGTGGCTAGAGAAGTGCAAGTATCAAAAACTCAAGTGTGGCAAACGCTGCGTGAAGAGGGGCTGTATCCGTTTCACGTCCAACGTGTACAAGCCCTACAACCTGACGATTTTCCAGCAAGAGTGCGGTTTTGTGAGTGGTTGTTGCATCAACATGACAATAATCCGGACTTTTTAAAGTGCATATTGGTGACAGACGAATCTACGTTCACTCGTAATGGGGTGAATAACTTTCGCAACACTCATGTTTGGTCAGTAGAAAATCCGCACGCTGTCCGTCGGGCACATTTTCAACAAACATTTTCGGTGAATGTTTGGGCTGGCATGGTGAACGGTACGCTCATTGGACCATTAAATCTCCCAAATCGATTGGACGGGATGCAATACCTAGACTTTTTACGCAACAATTTGCCTTCCTTGTTAGAAGATGTGCCATTAAGTGTAAGACAATCAATGTGGTTTCTGCGTCTGCTCGGTAGCGCATCGGCTGATTTTATTTTCTGTTGGAGCGGTATGATTTCGGGCAGAGACGTACTTAGCCCTTCTCGTCAACTGGAGAGTGAGTACTTTTTCCTTTATTTCTTTTACTTGGTCGCCCTCGTTTCACTACACATTACCTTTGTTATTTCAAGGGTAGTTGTTTCTGAAAAGAAAAACCCCAACTCTGCGGACACCCTGTATATTTCATAGTAATATATTATAATTATATAATAATATTTTAATTTGTGACCTGAGCGTTTTTAGTGCTGTTCGATAATTAATGGCAATTACATTTCGTACGACTTAATTTTTTTTTTAAGGAAGGATTTCCAGACCTATTCTGATATGATCTCGTTTTTACATTTTAACGTACCGAATCAGCGCTTCAAATTTCCTTACAATATTCTGTAGCACCGTGTATGGTAGATGTTGTTTAATCACATTTGAACGAATTTGAAACAAAAACTCACAAGCAAAGCGGAGTCACAGGTGCATTTGTTTACAAATTGCAGAATAATGCTACAAGCTAACCTCAAAATATAATTTTCTGTTAATAGTTTCTAAGACAAAACCCACCTTACGACTGGGGCAATGCATAATACGTTTTAAATTGACATAGCACCCAATAGTATTTAAAAACATCGATATGGGACATCACATATACTTGTATGTCCCTACAGTAATCTGATTGCATTTACTGTTATTAATAATGCGTAATTATTAGATGAAGGAATTTTTGCTGGGATCTATATAATTCGTTAGTATCGAAATTGATAAAGCATAGACGCCTCATGCTGGTAAATCCGTGAATCCGATTTCGTTTTGTCTAGTATTCGAAAAGCTTTATATTCATCTCAAGAGACATGATTAGTCAACGTTTTACGTAACTTCTCTTCTATCTAGAAGTATACATATTGAAAACCTACGTTCGACATCAGCTTGACTACATATTTTATGCATGTTTTGAAACGAAACTAGAATACTGATGAGGAACGCCCCCTGTTCCTTGGTATATCGACAGCGCTTACACAGAAAATACAGAATTCGCAAAAAAATATTTTGCATTTTTTGAATTTATGTATGCATAATGCTGGAGAGCGGAAAATGTGCTCCCAACACTCTGGGCAAGGTTGACTGGATAAAATATCAAAGTCTAAAACCGAAAAGTTGTCACCGATTCATGAATATTATGAGCGGGAGAAAGCACTATTATAGCAATGATTAAACTTCTGAACTCTGAAGAGTATATTCTTCTTCAATATACTTAAACATTGTCTTGACTATAGATGCTGTGATTTTTAGGAAAAGTCTTAATGTGTATAACCAGCCGCCTTACTACAAACCTCAATAAGACATTGCTGGGAGTGTTAGGAATATTTTTTTCATTTCCATATATTCCGGTGATGCTTTCCTATGGGTGTGTTTTATTCAATGCATTTAATGTTATAGAGAGCAGTGCGGAGAATTTGCGTTGCATAATGTCCTAGAGAACGACACGTCAGACTCTCTGTAACAACCGTAAAATGACATTCCTTATGAGGCCATTTTCTCATGATTCGAGAACTGGCTCCCTGATGAGCTACTATTCCCCTGTAATGTTCCTTCTGGATACCGAGTAGACTTTTACTTATTAATAACACCTCATAGCTATACTTTGTTTTTGTCTAGAGTACCGGGAATATCAAGTAATCTAGTGACACCCCTTTGAATTAGGCAAAATCCATTTCAGCAGGTTGTTATTTTTTATAACATGCTGAACAGCTGCATTTTGTTTTTCCTTCCTCACAAATATAAAAATTATATATGACGTTGTACGCATCGTCCCTGCTTTTAACACGAGGGCAACAGTAATTCTTGAACAACCCTCATATACATACATGGAATCACAGCAACACTTAACGGCAATTTTAAAATTACGTGGTATATTGAGTAATGATGAGAGTGATTTATATCTAACATGCGGGTTATCACAAGCGTGTAGGTGTCTCTGAAAAGGATTGGAGTATATAATAAACTGAAAATAAAACGCTTATTGTTTTCCAAAACGCCAAGCGTATGATAGCCTATTTATGAGAATTTAGGTCCATAATAGCTATTCATGTACCTAGGGAGTAAATAGTGTGTACAATTCGACCTCGCCGCGGTTCTACCTCGTCAACTGACATAAATGCTATTACGCCCGATATACAGTAATGGGCAAAAGTATATAGACAAACTAATATTGTGCTGTATTTCTTTTTTAACTTGTTTTATTAATACACCAACCTGTATACATAAATCGTTATAGCATAATACTTTTATATAAATAAATTCATTAGACTCCATTCAAAAAAAAAATTAATTGAAAAAAACTGGAACTATGAAGGACAAAAATATGTAGACAAAGCAAAAGAATTATCGAGAAAAGAAGCAAAGTTCATTGAATTATAGAAAAACAACAATGTTTGTGTTAATATTCTCGGCATAGATTGTAGAAGTTTCTTGATATAAGATTCATCAATCTGTCTCCACTTTTGCTCTAAAGCGACAAAAAGTTCATCCTTGTTTGAATAATTTTTATCGCATATTTGCTTATCTAAGTATTCCCATAGATTTTCAATGGGGTTTATATATGGAGACTGTGAATGCCATTTGAGAGCTGGTATTTTTTCATCCAGAAAGAATTTCTTTGCGAGATTTGAAGTGTGCTTCGGGTCACTATATTGCTGGAAGATCGATCTTAAGGGCATATTGTCTTTCATAT